TGATATGCACATAAATTACTTGATATGCAAATACAGCAAATTCATATGCACATAAATTAATTGATATGCAAATACAGCAAATTAATATGCAAATAAATTATTTGATATGTACATAAATTAATTCCATTCATTAGGTATTTTCACCCACCATACTCTTAAGCATTCTAGCAGAATTACGTAGATCTCGTTCTAATAATGCTAGATATACTTGTGAGAATCCTATATCAATGATATGCTGAAGATTGCCACTGCTCTTACTACTCTGCTTCAGATAACACTGTACCAGTGGAATGCTGTTGTTTAAAATACCATCTCTAATGATTTCCTGTAAACATGAAAGATAAACAAGTCTAGTTTATCAACAATATTCTAATAACATAGTATTCAGTATTCAAATACTGTGGAATACTTTATTTTCGCTGGAATTAATTTTCGCTGAAAAGGTATTTTGGGCGTTTTGCTTGGAATATATTTTCACTGATTTTTGACAAGATTAATGTAAAATATAGGAAAAAGTGTATATTCGCTGGATTTTATTTTCACGGAATCATCCCTTCAGCGAAAATAGCGAAAATAAATTCCAAGCGAAAATAAAGTATTCTACAGTACATGGTTTGGAAGAAGATATTCTACAACTCAGGAAAGCTGGTATTGACCCATGCCTCTTGGCAGACAACTACAATGCAGAGAACACTTGTCCAAGATTAGGTATATTTGATATAATGAGGGGGGCAAAGGGGGTAGCTGGTACAGTTTTACGGGAAATAAAAAGGTTTTTTTATAATTTACAAGGAAACAAGCAGCCTATCGGCTGAGATAGCTCCGCTGTTAGCAATGCACATTTCAATTAAAGAACTGAAGACATCATTAGAAAATGAACAATATGAATAGTATCAAAGCAATCGGACTTACAGTTTTTAACAAGAAGTCGAAAATATCACTTTTTACCAAAAATTACAAAAATATTCACCAAAATAAATTAATTAGAGAATTGAAGATATCATCACAAAACGAACAAATCTGAGAGAGGTCCACATGTAGTACCTATATATGTAATATCAAAGCAATCGGACTTACAGTTTTCAACAAGAAGTCGAAAATATCACTTTTTACCAAAAATGACAAAAATATTCACCA